TTTCTTTAAAAACATACACAAACTCTTTTAGAAGCAATGTAGACTTTTCCACCCAGTAGACTTAGCAAAACTGAATATCAATTTTCCATTGATTTTGTTTATAAGCCTAAACCTCATCTAAATCACATTTTTGTTACACAAACACTGTTTCGTTAAGGTTCCCTACTTGAAGAATTAACAGCTCTCCAAAATGTAATCAGCAGAAAGGCATACATGCTGCAGAAGTAACTTGGGTTTACTAATGATGTCAGTAATACTTAGGATTTTAAACAGCATGATTGTTAGTGTATTCTGTTTTTCTGCCTACTTATGTAATTTGTATGATTATCTACTGTATTTTTTAAAAAATTTTATTTCATAAGGCTTCTGGGGCACAGCTTATGAAAAACATTTTTGAAAAGCTCATGCATCTTGTTATTTGATGTCATAGTACTGTCTCCATTAAGCAAAATGATCCTTCAGAGAAACTGACTTTTGAATACAAGACTATTTTCCCATTTTCATTGAAACAGTTTTAATTTGGGAATTTGTTAGCTGCAATGTGCTGAATACTTGCAGGATTGGTTTCACTGCTCACATGAGCAGGGCTGTCATTGAACAAATTGTATGTTTTACCATTCATCCTTGTTACTGCTGTTTGACTCCCGAGTTTCAGACCCCAAACAAGGAGAGTATCACTCAGTGACTACATCAATTTTCCAGTCTTTGGAAATTTAGAAACAGGCCTTACTCTTTTTCAACATAGAGAATTTTAAATACAAATTGAGATCTCACATGACTCAAACTGTCATAATATTGTAAATGTTGTACATAATCACACATTTGATGTGACTAAATTAAACATTCACATTAGTGATGAAAGCAACCAACATTTAAGCAGTGGCTTATGTAGAAAACATAATAGATATTTTATTCCATATGTGTATGATTAATTTGTTCACAAAAGAGAAAGAGAAAAAGAAATTCACTTTATAATCCTGATTTTGCAGACACAATTTCTTTGAGAATTTTTGTTTTTCTCATGAGAAGCTGATTATCATATAAATGACTATTCCAGGTCGGTTCCAGGTGTTGGTCTTTATCTTTTCTCCCTCTCCAACTCCACCAAGATCTCCACGAAGCAGTAGAAAATATAAAAAACAATGTTTTTAACTTTATAGTTACAAGTTCTAAAGACTCTTGGTGAACAAAACATCCTTGCTTACATAAAAACTTGCACTCTGGTAGAGAGGGATAGACAATGAACATTAAGAATTAATAAACTGAACAGTTAACAGATATAAGCACTGAGGAAATATGGAGCAGTCAAGAGAAATGGGGAAGCTGGGGTGGTCAGATCTTGGTGAGAAGCTGGCATATGAGAAAAGACCCAGAAGAGACAAAGTAAGCATGCAGTTCCTGAAGGAACAGTATTTTATGTGGAGAGAATGGGCAAGAGCAAGGTCCAGGGGCCAAACGTGCCTTGGGTATTTGTGGGACAGGAAGGAGGTCAATGTAGCACCGCTAGAGTAAGTGTCATAGGTGATTAGGTCAGGTGATGGGGGTTTTAGGTTTTATGGGAGGAATGACATAGGACTTACATTTTAAAGAGATCACTTGGGATGCCGTCTTGAGAATAAACTGAAGAACAAAGGTGTAGAGACGAAGTTAAGAAGCTATTTAACAGTCCAGGTGAAGAACAGAGGTGGTGTGGACTAGGATTGTCAACTATGGTTTGGATAAAGTGGATGGCTCTGGATATATTTTGAAGTTAGAGCCAGTAGAAATTCCTGATGGGCCAGATGAAAGGTGTGAGGGAAGAAGTAAGGATGCCTTCATGATTGATTTTTGCCCCAAATAACTGATAGGATGGAGTTGCCATTGCGGAGATAGGAAAAATTGAGGGACAAAGGTCTAGGGAAAGACCAGAAGTTCATTTTGGGATCTATTGAATTAGAAATGTCTATTACTTATAGAACCAGAGATGTCAAGGAAAAAGTTGAGAGAGCAGGGTCGAGGAAAGGTTTATTCTTGAGATGTAAATTGAAAGTGATATTTATTTTAAGCTAAATGAATGAATGAAATGACCAAGAGTATGAGTAGAGGGAAAGCCATATTTGGTTTTCTGTATTTACTCTAAATGATGGGAATCTGAGGCTATGAAGTGCACTCAGTGCATTAATAATACAATAAGCCCATCCATTTAACTGATGTCACAAACAAGGGTTAAAGAAATTGGCAGAAATCACAATAATCTATGTTGGGACCCAGGTTATTTCATTTGGTGGAGATTTTGCACCTGGGAAATTAAAATCAACACAAAAGAACTGATGAGAAATGGTACCACTGAATGCCTTCTTAACATGTGTAACACAGATTATAATCCTATAAAATATACTTCTTCAAAATAATGCATACTTTATTCCCTTACTTCATGATTTACATTAACAAATATATAGCAGTCTTGAGACCTCTTAGAGAAAAGGAAACTATTTAATTGTGTTTAAGTCATATATTTCCAAATTACATTAATATTTTCATACAGAAAATTTTCTAGAGAGAATATGTAGGATAATGGTAACATAACCATCACAATACATGATGATTTAAAACAAGAAAATCTGTGAGGCTGGGAAGAGTTTAAAAAAATATTGAAGTCTAATATTTTGTATCTCTGACATCATCTTACCCCCTCTGTGGCATATGAGGTGCTGTGTTCTATTCACTGATCATCACATCTAGTTCAGTGAAACATTTTAAAATAGCAAACTGCCAGTTTCTTTAACCTTTGTTAATGACGGAATTGTCTATGCTAACTAGCCAGCTTGAAAACAAGAGAGAAGAACTAGATGCAGCCTAGAAAGCAGTGAAATTCATTCCACAAAAAGTCAGTCTATGACTCATTTATAGCAATCTATTCTGTGGGTAGAACTGGGCTTCAAATGTGTGGACATAACATTCTTGTCTGCACCTGGAACATAAGTTTTCCCTGATTACTTCTACTTTATTGCTCTCCACAAAAAGCACTATAAATTTTCATGAAAATTTGCTAATACATTTTTGTTTGTTATAGAAATTTGATATAAGAGAGAAAAACATGCCTACTTAGATGTTTTCTAATAGAACAATACATATTCAATAACTTGGGGAAAGAACTGTAAGTAGTTCATCTTAATGTGCATTCTTGCTTACTTTCCTTGATGATAGGAATCAGTGGACATTTCATTAATTGTGCTAACAGACCAGAGAGTGCAGAATGATGGGAAAGTATGTTGTTGAGAACTGGGCATGGCGGTGTGCACTTGTAGTCCCAGCTGCTCAGAAGACTGAGACAGGAGTATTGCTGGAGCCCAGGAATTTGAGGCCAGCAACAAAATTAGATCCCCTCAAATGAAAGAAATATATGTTGTTGCAACAGTCTAATTTCCCCAAAGAAGGTATGTTTGCTGATTAGTTTTCTTATTGGACATTCAAGTCTCAGTTCTGTGAAGTTGTGTCCCCTCAAAAAAAAAAAGAAAAGAAAAAGAGAAAACCATTTAATAAAAACTCATCATTTTTTCCCCCTAAAAATCCCTTTAAGCACTAAAAAAAAAAAAAAAGAAGCCAGCATTTCTCAGAGGTTTCAATTCTATTCTTCTCAGCATTTTATAAAAAACCCCAGTGAACATAATGGTTACAACTTGGATGAAAGGCATGAATGAATAAGTCTTTGAACTTTGCCACCAGTCATAAGTGACCTTTGAGAGTGTAGTTCATGTCATTATGTGACAAGGAAAATTTACAAAGACATCTTGCTATAGTGATTGATTTTTGAAAGTATTGGTTGAAATATAACCACAATTTGGGGAACTATGTTGCAATAGAGAATTAGTAAAAAGACAAGTTATAAGTAAAATTTGAAACGAAACCTCACATCTACAACATCCAAAGTAGACACAAGCTGTATCCTGCATGAGACAGTAATTATATTTCATTTATCTGCTCAGAGAAGCTCTGTCTGCTCTTTGTAACCAATCCAATAGTATGTGGAAGCTTTCTAATCTCACAACTTCCACAGTCAGGCACCAAGGCTGAAATGGCGGATTTCGTGTGTTCTATGATTGAAGAGACCTCTGCTAACAAATGATTGGATATCGAATTCCCTTGACAGTGACTTTTCAGTGTAACATAAACTCTGATACTAACTGAAGATAATGGAAGAATAATGTTAAATGGAAAATATGCAATAAAAATGCAGCAAATACAATTAACAGTCTAAATTATTAGTTCTGTATTAACCACTTAAGAAAGTAAATTATAATTTATGTTAAAGTCTTGGGTATTCATCTCATAATTTGTGAAATTGTGCTCTGCAGAAATATGCAGTCCATGAATATTTTATATTCTTAAGCAAAGCCTTTAATATTATACTCATCAAACAGAATAGCGAGGAACATGGAACTAATGGAGGAAGGTTCTGCGGTTTGCACTGTGACCGTCCCCCAAAGCAGCGATTATACCTGCTCCCCAGGGTCCCATCCTGTGGTACTCCTGGGAGGTGAATCGCTAGGGGGAGGGGCCTAGTGGAAGGGGACGGCTTGCCCTTGAAGGGCTCCTTGGATCCCTCTCCCTCTCCCCCAGTCCCCCTCCCTCTCCCCTCCCCCTCCCCCTCCCTCTCCCTCTCCCTCTCTCCCTCTCCCTCTCTCTCCCTCTCCCCTCATCCACCATGAGAAGCTCACCAACCCAGGGCTCCCTGTGAGAGAAGCAGTCCCAGAGGCAAGCTTGCTTACAGCTGGAGACGGCGTAAGAAATCCTGACCTGATCCCGAGCTGAGAAGCATGTGACGCTCAGCCGCTTGTGCTCCTCAAGAGTGAAGGCATGGATGACCCTGTAGTCATCCACCTACAGAGGCTGCAGCTGAGAGTGATAGGCGTGAACTGGCAGACCGTGAGCGCCTGCCGTGGCCCGCAGACAGGCTGCAGTGAGGGGCTGAGTTCACCACTTAACCTCTTTTCTCTCACTTTCCCTTTGGGAACCCGGAGGAGCCTCTCCTGAAACGTGCATGAGAAGCAGACCTGCGTGGCAGAAGGGATGTTGGAGGACGTGCAGTTCCATGGATCAGGTCTCCCATAACAAAATCTTTGTAAATAGGGATGGATGGAGGGGTTGAAGGGAGGGCTGGGCAAGGGTGAAAAATAAGAACCAAGAGAGATTATGTAAAGGTGCAAATTTCCAATGATGAATGTCATTATATTGTATACTTAAAATGTACCAATGATTAGAATGAATAATCGATAATGCAAAATAGGAAGAAAAGGTCCAAGGGGGTAGGGGTAGTGGGAGGGGCAGGGGAAAGGAAAGAAGGGAAAGGAAAAATGATGAGAAATGGAAAAAATGGAAATAACTTCTTTGTAAATAGGAAAGGGTGGAGGGGGTGAAGGGAGGGCTAGGAATGGGGAAAAAATAAGAACCAAGATGCATTATGTAAGGGTACAATTCCCAGTGAGAAATGTAATTGTGTTGTATATCTACAATGTACCAATAAAAGAATTTAACAACAACAACAAAAAAGACAACTCCTTGAGAAGCGAACAATTAGTGCCAGCACCTAGCTGCCACGTTCTCAGACCTCCAGAGCTGCCCTCGGCCCAGGACTGATCATGGTAGGAGCCCAGAGCAGGGACATTTCTGACCCAGGTGGGTCTCCTTCACCTGATAGTTTTTCTTGGGGCCAAGCACCTGCTCTGGCTAGACTTCCTCAGAGCTGTGTTGTAGCCTAAAGCCCTGCTACCACAACTTTGAATTTCCTCGCTTGCTTCCTCCTTTCCTTTAACACTTGCCATACTTGCATTGTTTTTCAACCGCTCTACAATGATATGCTGCTTCCTTCACGTATATCCTCGGTAGGAGTTTTGACAAACAAATCCATGCACAGCTGTCTCATCTCCTATGAGTCTGTGATGACCTGAACTGACAGAATGGATATCTGCAGCCCTGGTGTGGCCAGGAGCAGGCATGCTCACAGGCTGGGTGTCAAATGCACATTTTCCATGTCAGATATTAGTTACTTTAATGCTTTTTTAACAACATTGGACAACTTATATTTCTCCTACTTAATGATTTATAACAAGAAGAAATAGTGGTTTTGGTAATTACTAAGTGTTCTCTTTAGCCCCCTGCAAAGAAATGTGCTTCTTGAACTTGTATTAAGAAAAACATTAAATGCCCATTAAAGTTAACTAGATCAGATGGTTAAGAACAAATGACACTAATTATCATTTACCTTTATTTAGATAAGGTATTTAGAGAGAAAAATGAAAGGATCCATGTTAGGAATTTTATAATTTACCAAGAACAAAGGAGGTAAATTGCTAATGTCCCCGACCCTGTTACTAGGGATTGAACCTAGGGCCTTTGCACTGAGCAATATTCAGCCCTTTCAATTTTATTTTTTAGTTTTTACTTTTTATTTTTATCTTAGGGTCTCACTAAATCACTAAGTTGCTTAAGCTGGTCATGGAACTGTGGACCCCCTACCTCAGTATCCTGGGTTGCTGGAAATACAGGTGTGTGTGTCACCACACGCAGGAACTTGTATTCTTAATAAAAGAACTCATTCCTTCAATTAGGGATAGGAAGTATGAATGCTGTTTCCTGTGCAGATCTGTGAGGTGGGCAGATCTTTAACTTTTCCTTCTCTCTCTTTTTTAATTTATTAAGTTTATTGGTACATTTTAGGTATACAATATGCTGACATTCATCATTGGGAATTTGTTCCTTTACATGATCTATCTTGGTTCTTATTTTTTCCCCATTCCCCTGTCCTCCCTTCAACCCCTCCACCCCTTCCTATTTGCAAAGGCTTTGTTTCCATTTTTTCCTTTTCTTATATTTATTCCTTTCCCTTCTTTTCTTTCCCCTACCCCTCCCACTTCCCCTACCCCTTTGGACCTTTTCTTCCTACTTCACATTATCTATTATACATTTTGATCCTTATTTACACTTTTAGTTTCTCACACCAGAGAAACTATTTGGTATTTATACACGTGTGTCCTATTTATTTCACTGAAGTGTATGGCCTCAATGTGCATCTATGCTCGTTCTTTCTGCATCTTCTCTCACCTAGAGCATCAAACAGCTTCATTATTTCCCTTTTAGGGTCCTTCATTTCCAAAAATGAATGATGAAAGATGGTGCCTGTCATATCCCTGAGACCTTTCAGTTAGTCAGTGGCCATCATGTCAGAGGTGATTAAGTGAAATCTTATTTCTTGTTCTGAGTGAAAAATATCATATCTTAACCAAGAGGCTGGAAACCCAAGGAAACACTTCCAAGTAGTCCCTGCCGGCTGGTACCCTATATGACAGCTGAAGGTTTCGTTCTTCTACTTAGGCAGCTCTCACATTGGACATGTCCACAGAGCTCATCACATGGAGTACAATGAGTTTGAGTCATTTTTCTTCTATGTGATTAAAGATATTTCTAGGTTCCCTTCTGTCATGAACATGTACCAACTCCCTGTGATGAATGTAATCATTATGTATTACAAAGATACTAATAAAAATAAAAATTAAAAAATAGTTGTTTCTATTACAATTTTCCTATATAGGCAGAGCTTAAAATATTTTAAGATTTACTTGGATAAAGGAATAAGTAAACTGCAAAGTAAAAGAGATAAGATGGTACAATTGAACGCTAACAACTGTGTTAACTGAAGAGGAGTGAGAGAGAATAATAGGTTAGATTGAAGAATAAGGGTACACAACCAAAGAATAAAGGGAGCAATTTGTATTTTGGGCACACATTTATGGAAGTTATGAACTAGATAGAGAGCTAGGCCAATTGATACATTTTCTGTGCAATAAATTATGCAAATTTAAACTTGATGCATCAGGTTTGGGTACATGATGTGATGACTAATTTTATACGTCAACTTGATTGATCCCTGGGTGTCCATATATTTGATTAGACATACTTCTGGGTGTGTCTAGGAGAGTGTTTCTGCATAAGATTAACATCTGAATTGGTAGACTGAGAAAAGCTGATTACCCTCCTTAATGTGGGTGGGCTTCATCTATCTGTTGAAGAGCTAAGTGGAAGAAAACTTATAAAGGACTTTGTATGCACTACTGTCTTCAAGCTGGGGCATTGATCTTTTCCTGCCTTTGAACTCAGACTCAGATTAGAACTTACATCACTAGATTCCCCATTTTTCAAGACTTTGGATTCAGACTACAACTATACCATTGGCTTTCCTAGGTCTGAACATCTCAGCAAGCAAAATTGAACAAGCAAGTTCCTTTTAATAAATCTCTATCTGTATCTCCAACTCTACACACACACACACACACACACACACACACACACACACATTGATATCCATTTATACACATCATGTTGGTCCTGTTTCTCCAGAGAACTCTGACCAATACGGATTTCTGTGCCAACAAATAGGGGGCAGCTGTGACAAATACCTAAAAATGTGGAAATGGCTTTGGAATGTGTAGAGGCTAGAAGAGTTTTTAGATGCATGCCAGAAATAGCCCAGGTTGCTGTGAAGGTATTGTGAAGGGCTTCTGATGAGGACTCAGGAAGAGAAGAGGAACTCTGTAGAGAAAGTGTCCACCTTCTTAGAGTATACATAAATAATCATAAACAGAATGTTGGTAGACATATAGGTGGTAAAGGAATGAAAGGTGATTGCTGTTGTAAAGTGGTGAAGTGTTTGGTGGAACTGTGTCCCAGTACTGTGTGGAAGGTAGAGTTTGCGAATGGTGAACATAGACACTCAGCTGAGATTTCTAAGCAAAGTGTTGTAAGAGTGGCTTAGTTTCCCCTGAAAATATGAGAAGAGAGAAATGAATTGAAGAAGAAATTGTTAAGCGAAAACAAAACAAAACAAAACCCAGAACACATTGTAAACACAAGAAAATTCATTCTGAAAAGAACACTCTTTGGGTGGTCAAGCAACGAGTTAGTAAGGAGATTTGTATGGGTCTGACTGTGGTCCTAACCAGCAACCCCAGCAGAAAACTTGCCAGGCTTAACAGAAAGGAACTGAAATTGGATGAAATGGAAGGCTGTTGGGCCTTTCAGATATATCTCTCTACAAACATGCATGGCTCTTGTTTTTCAAGACAAATGGCCTGGATGGACATTCAAAGGTTATCAGGGTGTCTCCTCAGCATCAAAGAGGGGATGCGGGCATCTACCAGTCAGCAGCTTCCTGAAGCCCTGGGGTGTTATCCCTACCAGCAGAGCCACAGAGGGGTCCTGAAGCTGGCCCTGCCTTCCCTGTTCATCCAGAAACAGGACATCCAGACAACTTGAGCTTTCAGATCTAGTGGTGATCACTTTGCGAGGTTTCAGACCTGCTAGGGACCCATCATCCATTTCTTTCTTCTCATTTTTCCCTTTTGGAGTGGGAATGTCTATTCCATACCTGTCTCAGCATTGTATTTTGTAAGCAAATCTGTTTTTACAGCTTTGCAGTTGAAAAAGAATTTCACCTTAGGATTAATTACACTTCAAATCTTATTCAGATCTAATTTAGTTGAAATTTAGGCAAAACTTTAGACTTTAGAGGTGATGCTGGAGTTAAATTTTAGTAACTATTGGGATGAATGAATTTATTTTGCACATAGAAAGGCCATGTATTTGGAGAGTGCAGGGCTGAAATGTTATGGACTGAGTGCATGGATCTCCCCAGAGTCATGTCAGAGCTCTGGTTCCCAGCATAAGGTGTTGGGGGTCCTTTGAAACTTGGCGGGGTTTAGATGAGGTCATGTGGGAGGACCCTGATGATGGGACAACTGGCTTTATAGGAAGCAGAAGAGAGACCAGAACCTGGTTTATTTTTATCCCTTTGAAGAGACAGGGAAAGGTAGCCAGAGGCAAGCTAAGAAGAGGGCCTTGACCATGACACAAATTGGCCGCCATTTTAAAATTGAATTTCCCATCCTTCAGAACCTATTGTTTAAACCACCCTTATGCTACTTTGTTACAACAGATTAAGCAAATAAAGGCAGACAATAAGAAGGAAGATGCAGGGATTTGTTTGAAGTGTCAAAAAAAATGTATGGATTAGGGTGTCATTTTTAAGTAAAGGGCTAGTGAAAGAATGAAAGATATGAAAAGAAAAAGAAAGGGGAGGTCTGAAGAGCAACAGTAACCACTCCTCTAGGA